CACAGGTACATATAGACACAGGTACATATAGACACAGAGAGAAACAGGTACAAATAGACACAGAGACACAGGTACAAATAGACACAGAGACACAGGTACAAATAGACACAGAGACACAGGTACATATAGACACAGAGACACAGGTACATATAGACACAGAGAGACACAGGTACAAATAGACACAGAGACACAGGTACATATATACACAGAGACACAGGTACATATAGACACATAGACACAGGCACATATAGACACAGAGAGACACAGGTACATATAGACACATAGACACAGGTACATATAGACACAGTGAGACACAGGTATATATAGACATAGAGACATAGGCACATATAGACACAGGTACATATAGACACAGAGACATAGGTACATATAGACACAAAGACACAGGTACATATAGACACAAAGACAGAGGTACATATAGACACAGAGACACAGGTACATATAGACACAGACACAGGTACATATATACACAGGTACATATAGACACAGAGAGACACAGGTACATATAGACACATAGACACAGGTACATATAGACACAGAGACATAGGTACATATAGACACAGAGACACAGGTACAGTACATATAGACACAGACACAGGTACATATAGACACAGAGACATAGCTACATATAGACACAGAGACACAGGTACAGTACATATAAACACAGACACAGGTACATATAGACTCAGGCACATATAGACACAGAGAGACACAGGTACATATAGACACAGAGAGACACAGGTACATATAGACACAGAGAGACACAGGTACATATAGACACAGAGAGACACAGGTACATATAGACACAGAGAGACACAGGTACATATAGACACAGAGAGACACAGGTACATATAGACACAGAGACACAGGTACATTTAGACATAGAGACACAGGTACATTTAGACACAGATACATATAGACACAGAGAGACACAGGTACATATAGACAGAGAGACACAGGTACATTTAGACACAGAGACACAGGTACATATAGACACATAGACACAGGCACATATAGACACAGAGAGACACAGGTACATATAGACACATAGACATAGGTACATATAGACACAGAGAGACAGAGGTACATTTAGACACAGAGAGACACAGGTACAAATATACACAGAGACGCAGGCACATATAGACACAGAGAGACACAGGTACATATAGACACAGAGAGACACAGGTACATATAGACACAGACACAGGCACATATAGACACAGAGAGACACAGGTACATATAGACACATAGACACAGGTACATATAGACACAGAGAGACACAGGTACATATAGACACAGAGACACAAGTACATATAGACACAGTGAGACACAGGTACATATAGACACAGATACATATAGACACAGAGACATAGTTACATATAGACACAAAGACACAGGTACATATAGACATAGAGACATAGGTACATATAGACACAAAGACACAGGTACAGTACATATAGACAGAGATACAGGTAAATATAGACACAGAGACACAGGCACATATAGACACAGAGAGACACAGGTACATATAGACACAGAGAGACACAGGCACATATAGACACAGAGAGACACAGGTACATATAGACACAGAGAGACACAGGTACATATAGACACAGAGAGACACAGGTACATATAGACACAGAGCGACACAGGTACATATAGACACAGAGAGACACAGGTGCATATAGACACAGACAAACACAGGTGAAACACATCAGGGCGGGGCAGACCATCAAGAGGGGAGCAAGACAGGAAGTAAAACTAAAACAGGGAAAATAATAATAAAAATAATAATAATAATAATAATAAAACCATGGCAGTCTGGTGCTGGGGACCTTTGCTCATGTTTTCCAATTATTGTGGAAGCTCCAGAAAAAAAGACTAACCTAAATCATGGCAATGGTCCGGCTCCTGAAGCAGAGTTAGAAAGTAGGACTCAGGTAACCGCTGTGTAATTATGGAGGCGGCTGATCCCAGTGAGAGCCACTTTCTCCTCGCCACTGTCCTCCGCGGCTCGAGAAGCGAAGAGGGTCAGCGTTTAATAATGAACAGGTCGAGCCCGATGTAACGGATACATGCACCTGCTTTATACATCAGTCAATTACCTAATTAGAAGTCTCCCTCAGGGGAAAGCCGATACCTCACGGAAGAGGCCCCTCCCAGGCCAGCGCGGGACAAACAGGTACCTGTATGTATGCATGTACGTGTATGTGTGTGTGTGTGTGTGTGTGTGCGTGCGTGTAGGTCATACGCTAAGGGGAAGAAACAATAGTAGCCGATCAGTATTTCTCAGTGCAGATCCGATACCCAAGGAGGCTCATGGGAAATGGTCCTCTATAGAATTTGATCTGTGGAAATCCTTGCATTTTTTATTTTGGAAGACAGTAAATCAAACTTTATAAAAGGTAACAGTTACAAATCACCCGATACGTTTTTGTTGAAATTCTGTATGCCTATAAATTGCAGCAAATTAGTGTTGTAATAAAGCCGATATCAAGAGGCACTATTCTTTTTAAATCATGTGTCAGAGAGAGAACCGAATGTTTTTAAAAATGGTTTCTCTGAGACAGGAAGGCGACTTGTCTAAGAGTATTTGTATATGACCATGGCCTTTACAGTGATCCACGTGTCATCTGAACCAACTCAGACTCTGAGGAGCACAGGGACTAGCCTCCTGCTGGGACTCTGAGGAGCACAGGGACTGACCTCCTGCTGGGACTCTGAGGAGCACAGGGACTGGCCTCCTGCTGGGACTGGACTATCTATTTCTAGTCTTTCTCTGGTCTCTCTCTGGTCTCTTTCTGATCCCTTTCTCTAGTCTCTCTCTGGTCTCTCTCCGGTTTCTCTCTGATCTCTCTCTTTCTTTCTCTTTCTCTGATGGTGAATTATGATGTACCTAAGAAACCTGGAACTGAGACGGAGCAGAAACGACTGTTGTTTGGACAATCTTCCTTTTTTCCAACAGTGTCACTTAAAAAAACAACATTAATTCCTTGATTCAATGTGTTTTGTGAATAATTACAATTCCAAAATCACATCCCTGTTTTCTGCCGCTTCCTTCTCCCGGACTCGGAGGAGGATTAGCTAAACCATTAGACTCGCTAGCTGCCACCGCGCCACAATCACAGACACTTAAGTTGTGATTAAGTGATCTTTTTGAGCCTCTAGAGGACGCTAAATGAAGGGGTGAGGTGAGGGGGGAGGAGGGGGGTGTGGGGGGAGGAGGGGGAGAAGAGTGATGAACCTCTCACTTTACACAGGGGCCAAACACCGGGGGCCTCTAATGTCAGGCTTTCTCATCTCCATTTTCTGCCCTGACCTCTGACCCCAGGCCTTGTCATCATTCTCCATCATAGACTGTGTAGCAGGAGTGTGACATAAGCTAACACAAGCTAACACAAGCTAGCCTGTTTCCTTATATGGCATTTTTTGTTACGCACTCTGAGTTGCCGTCATGTGTATGTGCTACGTATACTAATAAACTTGCCATACTTTGCCATTTGTCTCATGCCATAGCAGGGTCGCACGTGTTGCTAGGACGGTTGCTAAGGGAACCTGGCGTTTCCTCTGCAAATGAAGGCATCTGATTAGTCAATGCTTCTATTTCTCATATGGAACAAGAAGAACTGTACAATAATGATGCTGGAGGTCCTACTTGCATACGAAAAACCAGATCCTGTCAGACCTCTGAAAATGTGGAGGGCAGGGTCCGGGTAGCACTGGGAAGGGAGACCTCAGGGAACAGCAGGAGAGCGGCTACGGCTGTATGGGTTAGTGTCAAACTGTTGTTGTGCCCTGTGGCTAACTACTGCAATAGTTGCAGTGAAACAGTAATGACATATGAAGTATTATAGTAAAGTAATATTACAAAATAAATACAGTAGGATGTTATGATCACACAAAACCACTAAAACTAACCCTAACCCATTCTAAAAACAAATATTATGACATTTAGTAAGTAAGTAAGTAATCTTTATTTATATACCGCCTGTCACAGACCAGAGTCACAAAGCAGTTTACAATTGTTATTTTTGGACACTTGTCCTCTCACTCCACACAGAGATGGGAGCGGGGATATTTAAAGACATTGTTAACTATAAAATACTTCAAATCATGTTTAAGGCAAAATCAAAGGTGATCAAAAGTATTTAAAACTTAAAAAAACTAGATATAGTTTAAGAGATGACGGTACATTTATTTTACCAAAAGTTATAAAATCCCTGACTCAGAGATGTGTCGTTTCATGGGCCGCAGTGTTGGAACAGTCTCAGCAGAAAGATGGAAATATGTCACAGTGGATCCTGGATGGACACGAACGGAATGATTTTGTTGAACTTGTAACTAACAAATGTTCATTTATTGAAATATGTTCTGGTAACTTGTAACGAAGCACAAATTCAGACTGAAAGACCGGCCACAGCTCTCACTCGTCCAGAGCCAGCCAATCACACAGCTCTGCCAGCCTCTAGCCTCAGCCAATCACACAGCTCTGCCAACCTCAGCCAATCACACAGCTCTGCCAGCCTCAGCCAATCACACAGCTCTGCAGCTTCCAGCCTCAGCCAATCACACAGCTCTGCCAGCCTCTTGCCAACCCACTGACAGCAAAGCGGGCAGTTTAAAAGTAGTCACTCCCTGATAAACAGCGCTTCTTGAGGCTCTTAACACCCACCACCTCCCCAGCTCCAGGCTCCTGCTCTGGCTCCTCCTTTGGCTCCTGCTCTGGCTCCTGCTTTGGCTCCTACTCTGGCTCCTGCTCTGGCTCCTGCTCTGGCTCCTGCTCTGGCTCCTGCTCTGCCTCCTGCTCCGCCTGCGCCCCATTCACACCATACTTCATCTACAGCAGCAGATGATCTCCCCTCTGCAAGTGTCACTGCCGGGGTCAATGCGCCAATCAAATAAATAATTTCCATGCATTAATGTTTCTGTCTTGGTCTCTCCAGATTGAACTGTATCATGAAAATGCAACAAGCGCACAGGACCTGTTTTGTTGTTGTTTTTCTCCGGCTTCTCCAATAGCCTCGCCACGATTTTGACGATTTTGTTCTGGTGCCCGCCGTCCACTATCTTAATCGGCAAAGGAAACACGTTGTCAAAGGACCGGTTCTTGGCGGCAAAGTGTTTCCCCAGTTCAAAGTCCAGCAGCTCATTGAAGTCCACGGTTCCGTCGCAGTTGGCGTCTATCGGCATGTGCAAGGCTCTCAGCTCCTCCTCCCATGGACCCGTGGCGCTTATGAACGCCATCTCGCCCAGAGCCCCGCCGCCATCTTTGTCAGCCCCTTTAAAGAATCGCTCCGTCTCTCTGATTCTTCCCCTTTTCTCCTGTTTGGAGCTGTAGTGGTCGTCCGGCATCATGGTGTCTTTCTTAATGTCGTCCATTTTGGATTTGGCTCTGCTGCAGGACTGTCTAAATTCAAACCTTTGCACCTTGAGCAAGCGCAAATTCCCAGTTTGCGACTTCCTGTTACTTACGACAGCGATGAATAAATAATTATGATTATGACGTGAGATCACAGAGAGCGCTACAGTAAATGCAGACCACCAGTTCTCTTGCTGCAGCCTCTAAAGCAGCTATAGCAAAACTTCGTCCATGAGCACTTCCCTGTAGGGCTTCATCCAGTCTACAGTACAGACCAAACGTTTGGACACCTTCAAATTCAAGGAGTTTGTTATTTTCATGATTATGAAAACAGTAGATTGACACTGAAGGCATCAAACCTATGAATGAACTCATGTGAATTAGTAAAAAAGTATGAACCAAGTGAAAATATGTGTTATATTCTGGTTCTTCAAAGTAGCACCTTTTGGTCTGATACTGCTTCACTCTTGGCGTTCTCTGAATGAGCTTCAAGAGGACCTGAAATGGTCTTCAACAGTCTTGAAGAAGTTCCCATGATGCTTAGCACTTGTTGGCCCCTTCACTCTGTGGTCCAGCCCCAAAACCATCTGGACTGGGTTCAGGTCCAAAACCATCTGGACTGGATTCAGGTCCGGTCTCTCTCCTTATTGGTCAAACAGACCTAACAAACAGACCTAACACAGGTCTGTAAAACCATGAATCCTCTCTGCTCTGGTCTGGACTGAGTTGTGTTGTGTTTAATGAGACACATTTCTCCTGGACATGATAAATAATCTTGAACCTGGAACATTCAGATCCAGTGTGACACAGCCTGGTGTGGGTCTACAGCAATAGTCATCAAAGTAACTCAGTGAAGGAGAGAGGGTGTCCACACTTTTGCTCTGTGCTGTATATCCTCCATCAGCTTAATGCAGACCACCAACTCTACAGCAAACCTTCGTCCATGAGCACTTCCCTATGGTCCGTCAGCTAAATGCAGACCACCAACTCTACAGCAAACCTTCGTCCATGAGCACTTCCCTATGGTCCGTCAGCTAAATGCAGACCACCAACTCTACAGCAAACCTTCGTCCATGAGCACTTCCCTATGGTCCGTCAGCTAAATGCAGACCACCAACTCTACAGCAAACCTTTGTCCATGAGCACTTCCCTATGGTCCGTCAGCTAAATGCAGACCACCAGCTCTACAGCAAACCTTCGTCCATGAGCACTTCGCTATTGTCCATCAGCTAAATGCAGACCACCAGCTCTACAGCAAACCTTCGTCCATGAGTACTTCCCTATGGTCCATCAGCTAAATGCAGCCCGTAGGTTCTGTCCCATAAAGCCTGGTGTCGCGGCCCCTTGTGGCCCGTGTGTTTTATGGATGTTCTTATTAATAACAGCTCCAGTGTAAATATGAGCGAGGCCAAAGAGGAAAAAGGACTGAGATTGAGATGAGGGCCGCGACCCCATGGTCAGAGGTCAGGGGTCAGGGTCACGGAACATGCTCCTAAAAATCAATTTTCACACAAGAGGAGTATGTAGTGATTGAGGAGCGGGATGACGGATGGAAATGACCAAGGCTGAGATTAGCGTCGTAAACCAGGACTGAGATTAGGATTAAAGGGACGAGATGTTTTCATTTGGAATTCAATAAACACGATTTTTATATAAACAAATACTCAGGTTTCCAAGATTCAAGAATTTATTTCCAAGATTTTTTTGCCATTTGCAGTAAAACCACATTGGAATAACTGTGCGAGACCGACCCCAGAGTGCAGCAGACACATGGTTTTTCTCTGGTCTGGACCAGTGTGAAACCATGAATCCTCTCTGCTCTGGTCTGGACCAGTGTAAAACCATGAATCCTCTCTGCTCTGGTCTGGACCAGTGTAAAACCATGAATCCTCTCTGCTCTGGTCTGGACCAGTGTAAAACCATGAATCCTCTCTGCTCTGGTCTGGACTGAGTTGTGTTATGTTTAATGAGACACATTTTCTCCTGGACATAATAAATAATCTTGAACCTGGAACATTCAGATCCAGTGTGAGATAATCTTATCTATATGTTGTTAATGAGTTTGTTAAGCAGAGACGTTGTGTATTAAAGGTCCATTGAAAGTGGACGGTGAATGGTTGGGTCTAAAGGTCTAATCGGTCTGAAGGTGTGTGTAAAGTGTGGCGTGTGTCGGAGTGTGTCGGTGAAGCAGGCGGCTCCGTGGCGTGACTGTGAGTTGCTAATACAGCTAATGCAGTGGGGGCCGAGGCGATTAATGAGAGCCGGGCCCCTGACGTCCAGGACCTGAGGCTGCTGCAGTGTCTCCGGAGCCGAGCTTTAATCCATCACCGAGAGCGTAACACAATTATGGACACACACTTTACTTTTAGCCCCTGTGTCGGGTCCTTCACACACATCTATAAAAGGGCAAACACACACACACACACAGACACACATACACACTGACACAAGCACGCATTTACTCACACATACACTGACACACACACACACACACACACTGACACACACACTATCACACATTGACACACACACACACACACACACACATTGACACACACACACTCACACATTGACACACACACACACACACACACTAACAGCAGAGTGTATGGTGTCAGGACCTATAGCAGCGTCACTCTGGGGCTGTGGTCAGAACGTGGGTTTGGAACACAGTCTGTAAACATCACAGACTGGGTCTCGACTCTCTCTGTTGAAACTAAAGAGCAAAGTCTCATTTTAGTCTCCAAACTCTGTGGTGTCGCGCTCTCTGAGATCCTGTGTTTCTGTTGTGATTGTTCTAAATCCAGATTCTATGGGACATGTACGGGTGGTGCAATCAGATGCATTCATTCAGGAAACTCCAGCCTGCCTTAGCAACCATCGTAGCAACGGTCTGCCCCATGGTTGCAACGGTCTACCTTAGCAACCATCGTAGCAACGGTCTGCCCCATGGTTGCAACGGCCTGCCTTAGCAATCACCGTAGCAACGGTCTAACCCATCATAGCAACGGTCTGCCTTAGCAACCATCGTAGCAACGGTCTGCCCTAGCAACCATTGCAGCAACAGTCTGCCTTAGCAACCATCGCAGCAACGGTCTGCCGCGTCATAGCAACGGTGTGCCTTAGCAACCATCGCAACAGTCTGCCTTAGCAACCATTGTAGCAACAGTCTGCCTTAGCAACCATTGTAGCAACAGTCTGCCTTAGCAATCATGGCAGCAACGGTCTGCCCCGTAATAGCAACGGGCTACCCTATCGTAGCAACGGTCTGCCTTAGTAACCATCGTAGCAATGGCCTGCCTTAGCAACCATCCTAGCAACACCCTGCCCCATTGTAGCAACGGCCGGCCTTAGCAACCACCGTAGCAACGGCTTGCCTAAGCAACCATCGTAGCAACACTCTGCCTCATCGTTGCAACGGCCTGCCTTAGCAACCCTCGTAGTAACAGCCTGCCCCAGCAACCATTGTAGCAACAGCCTGTCTTAGCAACAATTATAGCAACGGTCTGCCCCATCATAGCTACGGTCTGCCTTAGCAACCATCGTAGCAACGGCCTGCCTTAGCAACCATCGTAGCAACACTCTGCCCCATTGTAGCAACGGCCTGCCTTAGCAACCATCGTAGAAACAGCCTGCCCCTGTTATACCTCAAATATACAAACACCCGTATTCGGTACTAGATAGACTTGACAACAGTCTTAGCAACACTGCCCCATAACATCGCTAAGCTAACTGTATCAGAACAAATGCCCATGAAAGGAAATTAGCTACGTGGGCCGCAGTAGCTCAGTTGGTAGAGCGTTGGCCTTTGAGCCAGAAGGTCGTGGGTTCAAGCCCCGCTCAAGACTTTCACCATTGACTCCCACTGACTACTGTCGTTGTGTCCTTGGCAAGACACTTAACCTCTGGGAACACCAGCCACAGTGGGGCGGCTGCGGCTGTAAAGTGCCAAACTGCCGTTGTGTCCTTAGGCAAGACACTTCACCCCCATTGCCTAGAATGAGTCTGGTGTGTGTATGAATGGTTGATGGTGGTCGGAGGGGCCGATGGCGCGTACTGGTTGCCTCACTTCTGTCAGTGTGCCCCAGGGCAGCTGTGGCTACAGTAGTAGTTTATCACCACCGTGTATGGAGTGAATGAATAATGACACATGTGAAGCGTCTTTGAGTGTCCAAAAAAGCACTATATAAAACCGATGCATTATTATTACAGCTAGCTTATGTTCAAATACACCTCTTCCGCATTAAGGCTAACACCGGAGTGATGTCACACTCGGCCCACTCCTAATACACATATTCTGTAATTAAGATTAGTGTAGTGTTAGCTTCATGCAGTCATTACCCCACTCTCTCGGAAGCCTCTCGGTTTAAAGGCCCTGAATGTTAACTAACTTCCTCTTGTCAACTCCTTGTTCTAATGCAATGTTAGCATGACTGTTCGCTAACGTGGCCCGTTCCCTGCGGTCCATCAGAGCACAGTTTTAGCCTCCGGGCCACACAGTCTGCATTATACATGAGCTCTCCCCTGCAACATTTATGATCCTCCCTCCAGCTTTTAAAACAATACTTCCCCAAACATCCACAACATCTGGCGTGTGCACGCGTGTATCTGGCGTCTGGTATCTCTGGTCTCTCTCTAGTCCCCCTGGTCTCTCTCGTGTCTCTCTCGTGTCTCTCTCTGGTCTCTCTCTGGTCTCTCTTTGGCCTCTCTCTGGTCTCTCTCTGGTCTCTATCTGGTCTCTCTCTGGTTTCTCCCTGGTCTCTCTCTTTGGCCTCTCTCTGGTCTCTCTCTGGTCTCTATCTGGTCTCTCTCTGGTTTCTCCCTGGTCTCTCTCTTTGGCCTCTCTCTGGTCTCTCTCTGGTCTCTCTCTGGTCTCTCTCTGGTTTCTCCCTGGTCTCTCTCTCTGGTCTCTCTCTAGTCTCTCTTTGGCCTCTCTCTGGTCTCTCTCTGGTCTCTCTCTGGTTTCTCCTCTGGTCTCTCTTTGGCCTCTCGCTGGTCTCTCTCTGGTTTCTCCCTGGTCTCTCTCGCTGGTCTCTCTCTGGTCTCTCTGGTCTCTCTCTGGTCTCTCTCTCTGGTCTCGCTCCGGTGTCTCTCTGGTCTCTCTCTGGTGTCTCTCTGGTCCCTCTCTGGTCTCTCTCTGGTCTCTCCCTGGTCTCTCTCTGGGAGCGAATCCCTTTCTCAAACCATGGGTCTCCCTGAGGTTTCTCACTTTTTCCCACTGGGTTTTCTTCTGAGTTTTTCCTCTGATGCAGGAGGGTCTGTTGGACAGTTAGTGTCCAACTAGAAGGACTGTGGTGATCCAGGACACTCTACAACATTCTACAACGTATGTTACATGTTGATAAATGTATGACATTTATCAACATGTATGACATTTATCAACATGTGTTCTATATTCTTTCTGTGTGTTAACTGTTGATTCTCTGATCTGTGTTGGTGATTTCAATGGTTTTGTTCAGTCTCTGAGATGATGCTGTTGTGATTTAGGGAAATACAAGAATAAATTGTATTATATTGTGTCTTTTAAAACCATATGAGCAGGTCGGGGCCGATAGTACTTTCTTTTGTTTTTTGTCTGCATAAATTGGTATTTTGACATGAGTTTGGATATTATACTCATTTATCAGGGGAGAGAATGCTTCCACACGATATGTTTTTGCGATGAGGGACCAATGATCACCTAATGAAAATGAGAAACCTCCCTGGTCCCGCCTCCGCCTGCTCTCCGCTGGTCATTTATGTCACACACGCAGAGTAACGGCTCCGTCAATCCCAAAGATCTATGCTCGGCTTCCTCTAAATCAGGTGGATTGACTTCTTAAGAGTTACTGGAGGAGCCCGCTTCCATTAGCCACTCCCAACGGCAAATTAACTTAAATGTCCGGGCGCTCGATAAACTTCAGGACCATCATTTGCATGTCAATGTTTGTTTTTCTCTCTTTCAGGGCTTTCCCAAACGTCCCGCTGACAGAGGCAGATCTGGGCCCGGCTGCTCGTCTGCCAAACGGGTCCAAAGCTAATCAGGAAGTGCAGAGAGGCCTAAGGAGCAGAACCACCTTCAGCAAACAGTCTCTCTCGCTCCATGACTCTCTCACAGTATTTCATCAGCTCCGATCGGGATCCGAGCTCCTCCCACTTCAAACGAGGAGAGAGTATATTCTGCAAGTGAAGGAGATGTTGTGGAATTTATGGAGAGCGCATCAACTATGAAAGTGGGCGGCACGGTGGCTGAGTGGATAGCACTCTCGCCTCTCAGCAAGAAGGTCCTGGGTTCGAATCCCGGTCGGACCAGGGCATTTCTGAGTGGAGTTTGCATGTTCTCCCCGTGTCTGCGTAGGTTTCCTCCGGGTACTCCGGTTTCCCCTACCACTAAAAATATGTCCAATAGTTCTGGCATGTGCCTCCTATACTGGCGACCCCGCTCCCATCTCTGTGTGGAGTGAGAGACAAATGCCCAAAAAAATATATATAAATAAATAAAAATTAACAATTGTAAACCGCTTTGAGACTCAGATCTGCAGTGAAAAGACGGTATATAAATAAAGATTACTTACTAATACTACTACATATAGACAAGACAGTCTCTCTCTCTGGTCTTTCTCTAGTCTCTCTCTGGTGTCTCTCTGGTCTCTCTCTGGTCTCTCTCTCTGGTCTCTCTGTCTGGTCTCGCTCTCTGGTCTCACTCTGGTCTCTCTCTCTGGTCTCTCTCTGGTCTCACTTTGGTCTCTCTCTGGTCTTACTCCGGTCTCTCTCTGGTCTTACTCTGGTCTCTCTCTGGTCTCACTCTGGTCTCTCTCTGGTCTCTCTTTCTGGTCTATCTGGTCTCTCTCTCTGGTCTCTCTCTGGTCTCTCTCTGGTCTCTCTCTGGTCTCTCTTTCTGGTCTATCTGGTCTCTCTCTCTGGTCTGTCTCTGGTCTCTCTCTTTCTGGTCTCTCTCTCTGGTCTCTCTCTGGTCTCTCTCTCTGGTCTCTCTCTGGTCTCTCTCTCTGGTCTTACTCCGGTCTCTCTCTGGTCTTACTCTGGTCTCTCTCTGGTCTCACTCTGGTCTCTCTCTGGTCTCTCTTTCTGGTCTATCTGGTCTCTCTCTCTGGTCTCTCTCTGGTCTCTCTCTGGTCTCTCTTTCTGGTCTATCTGGCCTCTCTCTCTGGTCTCTCTCTTTCTGGTCTCTCTCTCTGGTCCCTCTCTCTGGTCTCTCTCTGGTCTCTCTCTCTGGTCTCCCAGGATGCCAGAACATAAGTCTCACACTCACACGTCCAAGGGCCGAGACCTCAAACCAGTTCTGGTCTGTTTAAAACCAGAGCAGCAGAGTGATCAGGCTCTCGGTGAGACCCGTCAGTATCAGATGTCTCACCGCCCGAGACCCACGGCGGACTCGGACTCGGACTCTGAGGATCCACGCCACATCCTCAAGTGCTGTAAGTGCCGGGAGTCGTCTTACACCAAACACTTATGGCATTTTGTATTGAGCATGATGTTATGAAAAATTAATAGTGTGTGTGTCTTTGTGTGTGTGTGTGTCTCTCTCTCTGTGTGTGTGTCTCTCTGTGTGTGTGTGTCTCTCTCTCTGTGTGTGTGTGTGTGTCTTTCTGGTATTAGATGAAGACTGAATGTTTCAGGTTCAATCAGGATTTGTAGAGTCTTATGTGGATTTATATAGAAATAGAAATAGTTCAATATTCTCTTGACTTTGCAACATGCGGTTCTATCTCCAGGGACTTAGCTCATATCAACTCTCTGGTCTCTCTGGTCTCTCTCTGGTCTCTCTGGTCTCTCTGGTCTCTCTGGTCTCTCTCTGGTCTCTCTCTGGTCTCTCTGGTCACTCTCTGGTCTCTCTCTGGTCTCTCTGGTCTCTCTGGTCTCTCTCTGGTCTCTCTCTGGTCTCTCTCTGGTCTCTCTGGTCTCGCTGGTCTCTCTCTGGTCTCTCTCTGGTCTCTCTGGTCTCTCTCTGGTCTCTCTCTGGTCTCTCTCTGGTGTCTCTCTGGTCTTTCTCTGGTCTCTCTCTGGTCTCTCTCTGGTCTCTCTCTGGTCTCTCTCTCTGGTCTCTCTCTGGTCTCTCTCTGGTCTCTCTCTCTGGTCTCTCTCTGGTCTCTCTCTAGTCTCTCTCTGGTTTCTCTCTGGTCTCTCTCTCTAGTCTCTCTCTGGTCTCTCTCTGGTCTCTCTCTGGTCTCTCTCTGGTCTCTCTCTGGTCTCTCTGGTCTCTCTATGGTCTTTCTCTGGTGTCTCTCTCTGGTCTCTCTCTAGTCTCTCTCTGGTCTCTCTCTGCTCTCTCTCTGGTCTCTCTCTGGTGTCTCTCTCTCTGGTCTCTTTCTGGTCTCTCTGGTCTCTCGCTGGTCTCTCGCTGGTCTCTCTCTAGTCTCTCTGGTCTCTCTCTGGTCTCTCTGGTCTCTCTGGTCTCTCTCTGGTCTCTCTCTGGTGTCTCTCGCTGGTATCTCTCTAGTCTCTCTCTGGTCTCTCTCTAGTCTCTCTCTGGTGTCTCTCTCTGGTGTCTCTCTCTGGTCTCTCTCTAGTCTCTCTCTGGTCTCTCTCTGGTCTCTCTGGTCTCTCTCTGGTCTCTCTGGTCTCTCTCTGGTCTCTCTCTGGTCTCTCGCTGGTCTCTCTCTGGTCTCTCTGGTCTCTCTCTGGTCTCTCTGGTCTCTCTCTGGTCTCTCTGGTCTCTCTCTGGTCTCTCTCTGGTGTCTCTCGCTGGTATCTCTCTAGTCTCTCTCTGGTCTCTCTCTGGTCTCTCTCTCTCTGTGGTCTCTCTCTCTCTCTGTACTCTCTCTCTCTCTCTGTACTTTCTCTCTCTCTCTCCCTGTGGTCTCTCTCTCTGTACTCTCTCTTTCTCTCTCTCTCTCTGTGGTCTCTCTCTCTCTCTGTGCTCTCCCTTGGGTCTCTTTCAGGTCTTTCTACATTCACACAAAGACTAAATGTTTTGCAGCTTCACAATTCAATACACTCTTCCATCTCCAGAGAGCTGCGTTGGAGTCGTTGGAAAATCCATGGTCCGACCGGAACTATCGACGGCAGAGAATGTGCCGGCAGCATTCCTCCTCCTCCTCCGCCGCCGCCGCCGCCATCGCTTCCACTCCTTTATTTCCCCGTGTTACTGCGTATCGACTGATCACTATTGGCAAAACAATAGCAAAAAACTACTACCATTAGGAAAGCTGATATATGCACAGACGTAAATCCTACAGTGACCACACGAGGCGCTGCTTCAGGACAGAGAGAGGAACACATGATCATTTATTTAAAAACTAGAAATAAACTGATAAATATAAAGAGGCTACGCAACAAGGTACAGTATGTGTGACGCTAGCTACAGGTGAAAGCCAGGCCCTGTCAGAGCTGTGAAGCTAATCAAGGCGGATCTGGGAAATATTCAGTAATCTAACTCTCAAAACCAACTGGATTTACCCGAGTGCTTTGATCTTCATCATTAAATCATGTTAAAACGTTAGATTCTGAGGTGTCCAATCACAGCATGAACGTCTGCGGCTTATACTCAGGTGAGGCTTATATTTGTATTTTCTTGAAAAATTTGTCAAATGCCTCAAATTTGGCAAGATATATCTGAATTTTAGCACATTCTGCCTTAAAACAAGATTAGCCAACAGGAAAATGAGCAAATAAATAATGAATTATTATTATTTAATTAATTAAATAATAAACCATGTTTATTTGAGCAGACGAGTTTACAGGAAACAAAAAATGTGCATAAAAGAGTTACATTAGATATGAAATTATAAATATTATGTACACAAGAGAAACACTTACATACTGGAAAAGGAGAAGAAACATTCTAATAAAGACTAAATGGCTTTGTCCTGTTGGAAAATCTGGTTTTCCGACAGTATTGACTCAGATTAAGATAAAAACCGCTCGATTCAAGCAGTTATTCCCTTTTGTTTTTGCTTTTTTGCAGCGTTGCCTTTGAGTTTAATCCAAACTAGCGTCCATACGTGACGGAAACAGAATATTACCTCCTATAGCGCTGGATGAACTCTCCCCAGTGTCCAACATTTCACATTGGGCCTGAGATTGTGAAGTGAGTGGGGGGTGTTCTCTGATGTTCGCTGATGTTCATGACCTTCTGCAGATGGACGATATTCAGACTCTTGTGCCGTGGATACAGATCTCCCGAGCCTCCGCCCTAAAGCTACGCTATAATGAAATATGTGACATTATTCCCGACACGTAATGCTCATTTAAACCACTGTCTACTCTCCGCATTGCTGTGTTTTGATTTTATACCTCTTAAAAGAAATTGAAAAAGGCTCCGGGCACTTTAAATTATCACTTTCCTCCACCCCCCTCCCTTCGCAGACGCACACTCAACAGTAATAATCCTAATGACCCTTGCCCACGCTGTTCTGGCCGTTCCTCCAGCCGTGTGACCCCTCCCAGATCGGAGTCCATTCACGCCCTCCCGTGTCCCTGGGTTAGTTCCGGCAGAGCGGCCACGGCCCCTTCCCATGTCCCCGCTCCCAAACCTCCTCGCACACTGCCCCGGGGTCTCCAGGAGAGGCTGCACTGGACATTAGCCTCACATTCTGCCTCCTCCACCTCTCTGTTCTACCTCTGCTGCTGCCGCCACTCGCCTCTGGGGCTCGCCTCCACTGCGTCCAGATAACCTTTAGTGTCTGACAGGACGAGGAGAAACTTACACATCATAAGTATGTCCTGAGCCTGGAGACGGACTCTGGAGGTGGACTCTGGAGGCGGACTGTGGGCCTGGGCCTGCACTGCTGGCACGAGGCGGAGGTTGTTTGAGCCAAAGTGATGATGAGGTGTTGGGTCAGACCGAGGCTGGCGCGAAGGTTCGGCAAGATATCCCAGAGAACTTAGAGCGCTCCCAGGCATAGAGTTTCTGTGTGTGAGGCCGCAACGAGCTGCAGCAGAGACCGCGACGAGCTGCAGCAGAGACCGCGATGAGCTGTGGCAGAGACCGGGACGAGCTGCAGCAGAGACCGCGACGAGCTGTGGCAGTGACCGAGACGAGCTGCAGTAGAGACAGAGACGAGCTGCAGCAGAGAGCGGGACGAGCTGCAGTAGAGACCGCGACGAGCTGTGGCAGTGACCGAGACGAGCTGCAGTAGAGACAGAGACGAGCTGCAGCAGAGAGCGGGACGAGCTGCAGTAGAGACAGAGACGAGCTGCCTGACGACAACAACACTGTCCTCTCCTGCTTCTATCTGCGGCATAATGGAAAAGTATATAATTCTACATTCCTTCAATTTAGAGCAAAGCAGTCAGAAAAGACACAGACAACAAAAGAAAGTACTATCGGCCCCAACCTGCTCTTATGGTTTTAAAAGACACAATATAATACAATTTATTCTTGTATTTCCCTAAATCACATCAGTATCATCTCAGAGACTTAACAAAACCATTGAAATCACCAACACAGATCAGAGAATCAACAGTTAACACACATAAAGAATATAGAACACATGTGATAAATGTCATACATGTAGAATGTTAAAGTGTCCTGGATCACCACAGTCCTTCTAGTTGGACACTAACTGTCCAACAGACCCTCCTGCATCAGAGGAAAAACTCAGAAGAAAACCCAGTGGGAAAGAGTGAGAAACCTCAGGGAGACCCATGGTTTGAGAAAGGGATCCGCTCCCACGGACGGACGGGCTATAGATCCAGGAGTCAGACTGTAGAACGAGGACTGAGGCTATAGATCCAGGAGTCAGACTGTAGAACGAGGACTGAGGCTATAGATCCAGGAGTCAGACTGTAGAACGAGGACTGAGGCTATAGATCCAGGAGTCAGACTGTAGAACGAGGACTGAGGCTGTAGACCCAGGACCTAAGCTACAGAACATGGACAGGTCCGGTGCAGGACTGAAGCACTCCCAGGCGGGTCGGGCAGGGCAGTCCGCAGGTGTAGATGGAGGAGGCCTGGTCCAGAGGTCACGTCATCGTACCATTGAACAGACAATGGGACAACGGGTGAATAGCAATGAACAAACTACAGTCAAAATCCTAATAATGCAAAACAGGTAAAGTAGGAAGGAGGAGAGGATAGTGCTCAAGTTACCATACTTCTCCCTATGCTCCTCAGTGTCCCAGCAGGAGGCCAGTCCCTGTGCTCCTCAGAGTCCCAGCAGGAGGCCAGTCCCTGTGCTCCTCAGAGTCCCAGCAGGAGCCCTGCAGTCCCTGTGCTCCTCAGAGTCCCAGCAGGAGGCCAGTCCCTGTGCTCCTCAGAGTCCCAGCAGGAGGCCAGTCCCTGTGCTCCTCAGAGTCCCAGCAGGAGGCCAGTCCCTGTGCTCCTCAGAGTCCCAGCAGGAGGCCAGTCCCTGTGCTCCTCAGAGTCCCAGCAGGAGGCCAGTCCCTGTGCTCCTCAGAGTCCCAGAGGCCTTCAGCAGATGTAACCAACACGTCTGGCCTTTTTCTTGGTTCTCGTGCAGATATTTGTGTTTGTTTTTAGCTCAGACTTTTACTCCCATCATTACATCATGTTATTCAGTCTTGTACCTTGGGTCTGTACCTTGGGTCTGTACCTTGGGTCCTCTGTTCTCCTCCTCGTCACAGTTAACGTTGGTTATTGATCCGCTGAAGCCTTTCATGGCTCTGCTTCTCTTCTCTCCACAGTCTTTAGGAGAAGCTCTCTCTCTCTAATAAAACTATCATCACTGTGAACGTCTCCTCTCGGGTCAGAACCGGACTTGGCTCTGTGTGTAAAGTGCTAATCCAGCAACAGCACTTTAATAATGCTCCACTGCAGACGAGAGATGTGTCGGTCCATTTGAAGTAATTACATAAAAGCAGTTTGAAATGGCTCAAGTGATCCATCTACAGCCTCAGTCCTGGTCTACAGCCTCAGTCCTGGGTCTACAGCCTCAGTCCTGGGTTTACAGCCTCAGTCCTGGGTCTACAGCCTCAGTCCTGGGTGTACAGCCTCAGTCCTGGGTCTACAGCCTCCTGGGTCTACAGCCTCAGTCCTGGGTCTACAGCACAGGTGTCAAAGTCAAGGCCCGGGGGCCAGATCCGCCCGCGAGACCATTTCCAGTGGCCCTTGAGAGGATTTTAAATGATTATATTAAATAGCAGCATAAATGATACTAGGCGACAATGTCATGTTATCCATCACTAACAACCATAAGAAATAAAGGATTTCCCAATTTTCTTAGCAAAGAACCGCCCTCTCCGCATTTTGAACAAAACTGTCTGGTCTTATTAGACAAGCACAAATCACTAGAATGATTGACAGTTGGGGGGACTAATCGTCTTGATGACACCCACTTCTGATATACCTTCAATATTTGGTCCAGTTTTGGTTCAGTCCACAGTAAGTGAACTAATTCTATCAGAAAATAAAGTTCAATCCAACTAATTTGAAACAAGTCATGTATATGGATACCTTCATTTTCCCCAAAAAAATTATAAATGGAACCCACTTTTTTTTTGGCCCCTGACCAGCCCTTTCTATTTTTTAATCGGCCCTCAAACAAAATAAGTTTGACACCCCTGGTCTACAGCCTCAGTCCTGGGTCTACAGCCTCAGTCCTGGGTCTACAGCCTCAGTCCTGGGTCTACAGCCTCAGTCCTGGGTCTACAGCCTCAGTCCTGGATCTACAGCCTCAGTCCTGGGTCTACAGCCTCAGTCCTGGGTCTACAGCCTCAGTCCTGGACCTACTGCCTCAGTCCTGACGAAAACACCCGGGATGTGGCTGGGTGTCAGACGTACAGTGAGTGACGGCGGTGTCAGCGGTGATGGGAGACGACGTGAGCTGAAGAGACAGATGAGCATCCTTCTGTTTAGAGGTGCCGAGGCTCCTGGGAAGAAGCTTAGCACACATATGTGACGTGTGAAAGTCTGACGGCGCCCGCTCGCTCCTGCCGCGCTCCGGTCGCTCCCACGGCGCTCCGGCGGCCCTTACAGCAGCAACATGTCTAGTGCGGCAAGTGCAATACTGTCAGAATGTGCAATACAGAAGCACATGTGATTATATACTAGTTTCTTTATTATGCTAAAGCTAGATATTTTATGCTAGCTTCTTTATTATGCTAAAGCTAGAGATTTTATGCTAGCTTCTTTAGAATGCTAAAGCTAGATTTATACTAGCTTCTTTATTATGCTAAAGCTATAGATTTTATGCTAGCTTCTTTATAATGCTAAAGCTAGATTGTATACTAGCTTCTTTATTATGCTAAAGCTAGATTGTATACTAGCTTCTTTATTATGCTAAAGCTAGAGATTTTAGAGTTAAATAAAAAAAAATGGAGCATTGATAACCATGAGTTACATTTACAAAATTATAAATGCTATATACACAAGAGAAACAAGGAGCGGGAAGAAGAACAAAAACTAATCCCAACCCAAGTTATTACTCCTTGAGCTTCTTATTTGCTCCAGAACAAACTCAAAGTGGCACATTTAGACCTAGACTTTTTTGATCCACGGGAAATTGTGTTGCCACAGTCGCTTGCGAAGTATTCCACAATACAAAATTAAAAATAGCGTTAATGGAACAATCTAAAAATAACAATAACAATAGGACATTATTTGTGAGAATAGAATAACCTGGATAGAAGTACTCGGGAAAATACACCCCGCTCCCATCTCTGTGGAGTGAGAGGACAAAATGCCCAAAAATAACAATTGTAAACCGCTTTGTGACTCTGGTCTGTGAAAGGTGGTATATAAATAAACCTTACTTACTTACTTACTTACACATCTGTGAATATGTACATTTACAATTACCAACACGCAAACTTTATTTTAGACTTATTATTCTTTTATCTTGTGCTGTGTGCTTTCTGTTCCTAACTGTGGTCTCTCTCTGGTCTCTCTCTGGTCTCTCTCTCTGGTCTCTCTGGTCTCTCACTGGTCTTTCTCTGGTCTCTCTGGTCTCTCTGGTCTCTCTCTGGCCTCTCTCTGGTCTCTCTCTGACCTCTCTCTGGTCTCTCTCTGGTCTCTCTGGTTTCTCTGGTCTCTCTCTGGTCTCGCTGGTTTCTCACTGGTCTCTCTCTGGTCTCTCTCTGGCCTCTCTCTGGTCTCTCTCTGGTCTCTCTGGTTTCTTAGCATTGTGCTAAATCTGGGGCAGCCATCTTTTTAATGTACCTGTCCGTTGTCCTTTTAAATAAATAACTAACTAACTAACTCACTGGTCTCTCTTGTCTCTCTCTGGTCTCTCTCTGGTCTCTCTCTGGTCTCTCTCTGGTCTCTCTCTGGTCTCTTTCTGGACCTGTCTAAGTCTGTCTCTTTCTTCAGGCTCATGATGAAATCTGTTCCTAACTGCGGATGCAACACTGACATTTCCTCGTTGTGGGATTAATACAGCATCTCTTATTCTTAATCTTAATCTTAATCTTAACGATGGGGGTGACAATGGTGCATGCAGGGGGTGTGATCAGTAATGCAGTTTAAGTCTTGCTCGGAGGCACAGCGGCAGTAACAAATTCTTAAATGTCAAAAGAACGACGGGAGACGACACCGAGCGGCGTTAGCTCGAAGCGCTGCAGCATTTCACGCCCTGATTGTGCGACTAACACTGACCAACACAACGCAACACAAATTAATACAGATAATGTGCAGGGTCATGCTATTTCAGTTGCACACACACAGACACACACACTTATATACAAACACTCTTACACACACACACATATTTAAAGACGGACAGACATACACACACAGACACATATATAGACACACACACACACATACATATACAGACAGACACACACACACACAGATACAGACACACAAATACAGGCACACACTCACACATCAGTTACACACACACACACATTTACATACATACAGATACACAGACACATATACAGACACACTTTCACAGACACACACACACACATATAAAAACGGACAGACACATACACACACAGACAGACACACACACCTCTTATTCCACTTTTCACTTCCAAATTTACACTCCATCTCAACACCATCATTTATTCATTCACCTTTTTGCAGCACCTCTTGGTCTCTCTCTGGTCTCTCCCTGGTCTCTCTCTGGTCTCTCTCTGGTCTCTCTCTGGTCTCTCCCTGGTCCCTCTCTGGTCTCTCTCTGGTCTGTCTCTGGTCTGTCTCTGGTCCCTCTCTGGTCTCTCTCTGGTCTGTCTCTGGCCCCTCTCTGGTCTCTCTCTGGTCTCTCCCTGGTCCCTCTCTGGTCTCTCTCTGGTCTCTCTCTGGTCTGTCTCTGGTCCCTCTCTGGTCTCTCTCTGGTCTCTCTCTGGTCTCTCTCTGGTCTGTCTCTGGTCCCTTTCTGGTCTCTCTCTGGTCTCTCTCTGGTCTCTCTCTCACTCTCTGGTCTCTCTCTGGTCTCTCTCTGGTTTCTCTCTCTGGTCTCTTTCTGGTCTCTCTCTGGTCTCTCTCACTCTCTGGTTTCTCTCTGGTCTCTCTCTGGTCTCCCACTCTGGTCTCTCTCTGCTCTCTCTGCTCTCTCTCTGGTCTCTCTCTGATCTCTTTCTGGTCTCTCTCTGGCCTCTCTCTGGTCTCTCTCTGGTCTCTCTCTGGTCTCTCTCTGGTCTCTCACTGGTCTCTCTCTGGTCTGTCTCTGGTCTGTCACTGGTCTGTCTCTGGTCCCTCTCTGGTCTCTCTCTGGTCTGTCTCTGGTCCCTCTCTGGTCTCTCTCTGGTCTCTGCCTGGTCCCTCTCTGGTCTCTCTCTGGTCTCTCTCTGGTCTGTCTCTGGTCCCTTTCTGGTCTCTCTCTGGTCTCTCTCTGGTCTCTTTCTGGTCTCTCTCTGGTCTCTCTCACTCTCTGGTTTCTCTCTGGTCTCTCTCTGGTCTCCCACTCTGGTCTCTCTCTGGTCTCTCTCTGGTCTCTCTCTGGTCTCTCTCTCACTCTCTGGTCTCTCTCTGGTCTCTTTCTGGTCTCTCTCTGGGTTCTCTCTGGTCTCTCTCTGGTCTTTCTCTGGTCTCTTTCTGGTCTCTCTCTGGTCTCTCTCTGGTCTCTCTCTGGTCTCTCTCTGGTCACTCTCTAGTCTCTCTCTGGTCTTGTGTTTTCAGACCCCAAACTTCCATCTTCACACAATCATTTATTCATTCACCTTTTTGCGGCAGGTCTCGCGCTTTTGCACTTGGTCTCTCTCGTGTTGGTGTGATGTCACATGCAAGATGCAGGAGGAAGCCATTTCTCTCCATCTCGCACTCTCCGTGTTTGTGTGAATGTTTCTGGTTGTTGACCTGTGTTTGACATCAACACACGACACACCCAATGGACACACATAGACACACACACACACACACACACACTCTGGTCTCTCTTTGACCTCTCCCTGGTCTCTCTCACTGTCTCTGGTCTCTCTCTCAGGTCTCTCTCCTTAACCCTTGCACACTAACCCTCCATGTTTATGTTTCAGCTGAGAGCGGAAATGAAACACCCTCATCTCACTGATCCGTTCATCTCCAACCACTGTGGCAAAGTAACACAACCACTTCACAGAGAGTGTCTTTCCCTCTCCCGGGTCTCGCTCTGGTCCCTCTCTCTCTTTCTGTGTGTGTGTGTGCGTGCGTTGGTGTGTGTGTCTTTGGGGGGACTGGGGGTTAGATTTCCTGCTGATAGAGGGGCAGCCGTGGAGGAGGGCCAAACATATGTTCCGTGGGCCAGGAACAAAAGCAGTGACACGTTAGCCTTTTCACAGAGATGACCTTTCCATCCCCGTGTGTGCGTGTCCGTGTGTGTGTGTGTCTGTGTGTGTGTCCGTGTGTGTGTCTGCCGCTGCTGTCCTCCGCTCTCCGCTCGCCTCAGGCCCAGCTCAAGCCAAGCGCTAGAATCTCTCCTCGTCTCCACAAATCTCCCTTGACTAAATGTCAGGATTACATATTCCTCGCTCACACACACACTTTTAAAGAGCCGCACACACACACACACACACACTTTTAACAAGTCACACACACACATTAAAGGAGTCACTGATGAGAGCGTTGGAAAAATCACACGCGTTCTGTGGAGTTCGCTCGAGGGAAGACGGGGGTTAGAAATGTGGTAAAAATAAAACTGTAATAATAGATGCAAAGGCAAAACAATAAGGCTGCAAAAGGTCTGTCCCTGTGCTCCTCAGAGTCCTAGACCAGTCCCTGTGCTCCTCAGAGTCCTAGACCAGTCCCTGTGCTCCTCAGAGTCCCAGACCAGTCCCTGTGCTCCTCAGAGTCCCAGACCAGTCCCTGTGCTCCTCAGAGTCCCAGACCAGTCCCTGTGCTCCTCAGAGTCCCAGACCAGTCCCTGTGCTCCTCAGAGTCCCAAACCAGTCCCTGTGCTCCTCTGAGTCCCAGCAGGAGGCCAGTCCCTGTGCTCCTTTGATGTGGAACATTGAGAGACTTGTAACAAAAAGTCTATTCTCTGAGCCACAGGTGCAGAGACTTGAGATCAGGACTCAGACCGAAACTTCCTGGTTCTAGTCAGGACTAATGCGATGGTACTTCCTGGTTCTAGTCAGGACTAATGCGATGGTACTTCCTGGTTCTAGTCAGGACTAATGTGATGGTACTTCCTGGTTCTAGTCAGGACTAATGTGATGGTACTTCCTGGTTCTAGTCTGGACTAATGTGATGGTGCTTCCTGGTTCTAGTCAGGACTAATGTGATGGTACTTCCTGGTTCTAGTCTGGACTAATGTGATGGTGCTTCCTGGTTCTAGTCAGGACTAATGTGATGGTACTTCCTGGTTCTAGTCTGGACTAATGTGATGGTACTTCCTGGTTCGAGTCCGGACAAATTCTGATGGTACTTCCTGAGCAGCCGTTACAGTAGTCTAACCGGAGACAAATGCAGTTTAAGAAAATATACACACACCACACACATCTACACACATCACACACATCTACACATATCACACACATCCACACACACCACACACATCTACACACAGCTACACACACCACACACATCTACACACATCTACACACAGAAAAGACATTGAACACACCAAAGACACAGGTCAGAGCAACCATCGGAGACATGGACTACAGAGAGCACCTCCTGGTCTCTCTCTCTGGTCTCTCTGGTCTCTCTCTGGTCTACTCTCTAGTTCCTCTCTCTAGTCTCTCTCTCCACTCTCTTTCTGGCCTCTCTCTCTGGTCTCTCTCTCTGGTCTCTCTCTGGTCTCTCTCTCTGGTCTCTCTCTCTGGTCTCTCTCTCTGGTGTCTTTCTCTGGACTCTCTCTGGTGTCTCTCTCTGCTCTCTCTCTCTGCTCTCTCTCTCTGGTCTCTCTCTCTGCTCTCTCTCTCTGGTCTCTCTCTCTGGTCTCCCTGAACTCTCTCCACTAATCTCTCCCCTCTAAAACCAAAGTATCTCCAGGTCTGCTTTAGACATTTATGATTCAGGTTTAGAAACACCCATCCAAGAATAAAACACATAAATCACTGCAGCAAACAAACGACATCGCCTGTTTCCTTAAAACTCAGTCATATTGAGACCGCGACAACCCCCTCAGAGTCACACTCGTCCTGATCCGTGTGTATCTTCTGGTCACGCTGATGGACTCGGGCCTCGCTCTCACACGCTCCCGCACTCCCCCGGGCCCCCCACACCCCACACCAGCCTCTCGCACTGGTCCCGCACTGGTCTCTCCTGACTCCGGGGCTCGCCCTGGTCTCACCCTCCGTCATTTCTAATTAGAGGAACCACGCAGCCAGCGCCATAATGAGCTGATGAATAATTAGAATGGGAGGGAATTGTGCAGCCGGGGTGGCAAATGTGGACGGACAAGTGCTGAAAACACGGCACACAGGATTAAGACCGGAGTCAGTCAAATCTGTGAACTTGACCAGCGGCGGTGACACTCGGCGTGTGTGAAGAGGAGCGCGGCGCTGGTGGCCTGCCAAGCCCGGGACGGCGCTGCGGGCCACACTCAGGCGCACACAGAAAGAAGAGGGCGATAAATGAATCCATAAATTGTCTGTTGTTGTGGTTTTGTTGTGGCATTGTTCAGTGAAGGGTGAAGGCTGAACGTGTTGAAATGATGTCATCAAAGCGTGACGGACGTAGCTGCCAGACTTCGCACGTTACCGGCGCTAAAACGGGACGGTCCCAGTCACGCTGCTGCTGTTCTGTTCCAGTTGTTTTGGTGTTGAACAGAATCACAGCGGTATCGCGGAGGACGTGGCAAAATCAGCGATTGGCCAACGACAGATCAGAGAATCAAAAGCAGGAACAATCACAAACACAAAGAGACATTGGTCCAAAAGAGAAGGCAGAGATTGATGTCTATAAACGAGGATAAATGTCCATAAACGTGGCTGAGGGTCCTGGATCCCCACATTTATTTATTTATTACTGGGACAGTGCATATTAATGACCATTTCTGTAAATATGCCAGAAATAGCCAAACGGCTATTTTTCACATCTGTCCTTAGATCCTCCGACTCTGATGTACACATGAACAATACTGGTTTATACACTTAAAAAGAACAGTTTTTCAGTTGTTACACTGGCCTGTGACTCCACACAGAGATGGGAGGGGCCAGTACAGGAGGCACAGACCTATTGTGCATGTTTTTAGTGGTAGGGGAAACCGGAGCACCCGGAGGAAACCTTCGCAGACACGGGGAGAACATGCAAACGCCACTCAGAAAGGCCCAGGACCTTCTTGCTGAGAAGCGAAAGTGCTAACCACTCAGCCACGGTGCCACCCAGATTCTAGATAGATAGATACTTGATAGATAGATAGGTAGATAAATAGATAGGAAGATAAATAGAAGAAGGAGAGTGTGGCGATGCGTTCTGATTGGACGAGAGAGAGAGAGTGAGGCGAAGGGTTCTGATTGGACGAGAGAGAGAGAGAGAGAGAGGACTCACGAGGACGTCCAGAGGGAGAGGACGCCGCTGTGAGGACCCCCCTCGACAGCCAAGATGGCGGCTCACTGTTAATTAGTGCTGGCCTCGTCCCCGTCACGAGGTCGTCCATATCCGAGGGTCATGTGACACGTCGCTGCGCTCTGCCTGCTCTTTTCTCTGCCAGACGTGTCACTTTGTCTCATTCTGACGGACGCTGAGGCTGACGCTGGCGCTGCAGATTAAGATTTGAAGAGATGCTTTAGTGGTCGCACGGTGAGGAAATGTCAGTGTTGCATCATCAGTCACAGAACAGTAAGATGAATGAACAAGAGCTGTACAGTAAGATAAAATCGCTAGCGTTAGCCTAATGAATAAGAAAGTAAAAATCTCTAGCTTTTCCATAATAAAGAAGCTAGTCTAAAATCTCTAGCTTTAGCATAATACAGGAGCTAGTATAGAATCTTTATCTTTAGCATAATAAAGAAGCTAGTATAAAATCTAGCTTTAGCATAATAAAGAAGCTAGTATAAAACCTCTAGCTTTAGCATAATAAAGAAGCTAGTATAAAATCTAGCTTTAGCATAATAAAGAAGCTAGTATAAAATCTCTAGCTTTAGCATAATAAAGAAGCTAGTATAAAATCTAGCTTTAGCATAATAAAGAAACTAGTATAAAATCTGGCTTTAGCATAATAAAGAAGCTAGTATAAAATCTCTAGCTTTAGCATAATAAAGAAGCTAGTATAAAATCTAGCTTTAGCATAATAAAGAAGCTAGTGTAAAATCTAGCTTTAGCATAATAAAGAAGCTAGTGTAAAATCTAACTTTAGCATAATAAAGAAGCTAGTATCGACTCGGGAATAAAACACTTAAAGTGATTACATTCACGGTGAAGAACCAACTTTTATTTCCAATCTTAAAATGACTTCATGACTCATTAGCGATGGTGATGATGATGAGGTTTGCCTTCATCGCTCTGTTGTCCTTGACAACGCCTCCATAAAGTGGCGCCACGGCCAAACCATCGATCTGCTGCAAAATAAAAGAAACGTGTTCAATAAGAAGTAATTTAAAATGGTTCTGTCCCGTGTCCCTGTGTCTGCCGCCGCTGTGCTCAAAGCTGATTGGCCCAGAGCGTGGCCCACTTTGTCTCACCCATGTGTGATTGCGGGACCTGGACCTGGACCTGGACCTAGACCTGGAGCTGGACCTGGACCTGGACCCGGTGGAGGGTCTGCTCACCTCTTCACAATGTTAACTGTACTGTAGCCACATGGTGTTGGACCATAGGGAGAGACCACATGGTATTGGACCATAGGGAGAGACCACATTGTATTGGACCATAGGGAGAGACCACATGGTGTTGGACCATAGGGAGAGACCACATGGTGTTGGACCATAGCGAGAGACCACATGGTATTGGACCATAGGGAGAGACCACATGGTATTGGACCATAGGGAGAGAGTGTCCTAGAAGAAAGAAGAAAAAAAAAAAGACAAACCCAGAGGCGGAGTTTTTTGGGAGCTACCTGAGAGCATTATTATTAAATTTCCTGTGTTTTCTTCTTCTTCTTCTAGATCTGTTTGAATCGACAGCTTTGTGAAGTCCCTGAGGAGACTCCTGCGGTGGTTTAGGGCTAAACCAGTGGGGACAGGTCCTGGCTCAAAAGTGGCCAAAATGACGTGCGCTGACATGCTGCAATTACCACCCCGGGCCTGTGGGGGTGGACCTGGAATAAGAATTAGCCAATGCTAACAAATAGCATTAGCTGACCTCTCAAAAACGTCTTTACAGGATGGTCCAAAAGCTGGGTCTTGGCCCAAAGCTCCGTTCCACATGTGTGTCAATGCTGCGGGGAGTGTTCTGGACCAGTCTAGGGCGGGACCACTCGCGGCCATTTTGGATAGCTCGGAGAGGCCGCGGTGATGGGGAGTGATCACAGACTCTGGTCATTAGACTAATAAGACTGTATTTAAATGAGCAGAAGCCTCCCTCCCTCCCCTCCCCTCCCTCCTTCCTCCTCCCTCCCTCGGTCATCCTCATCATCATGAGTTGGAAACACATCCATAAACACACTCCTCTTCGTCATTCTTATCTTTAACGGCAGAACTAATTAAGGGAGGTGCTCTCTCCTCGTTAGCGGCTGTTGTGGGTCTGCCATGCGGAAGGTTTCCTCTTGACTAAACATCCACCACAATCACATTATCGTATTTGTTTTCACATTAAGTGCATATTTTTGTAGCAGATAAATGATTAGAGTGAATTGTACTTCGCCTCGTTTGACTTGAACTGGGATTATCTTTGTCGTTTTTTAAAGCTAACAACGACTCTTTCATTTGACTCATTACTGAAATTAAGGAAAAACTCATTTGCTCTGAAAGACTGGAGACAAACATAGCATTAGAACGTTTCTCGTCAGGACGCATGAGCAGCCGATTAACCCAAGGACGCACTGATTCAATATATGTATTTCATTCAAACATGAATGTTCGTTAAGCTTTGGTGATTAGACCCCGGCAGGAAAACTGCCCAACGTCTGCAGGAGAGAGCTTAATACATGTTATGAGCGAACACTGGACCGGGACCTGGACCTGGACCTGGACCTGGACCTGGTGAAGAAGCTGAGCCAAAGACATGACCTGACACTACTGAAAAGGCGGTGATGGGGAGGAGGAGGGTTGCTGCTCAACCACTGAAGCTGCATAGAACTGAAAGGCTCTGACTAAATGCAGCCATGAAGTCTAGAGTAGAGTAGAGTAGAGTAGAGTAGAGTAGAGTAGAGTAGAGTAGAGTAGAGTAGAGTAGGGTAGGGTAGAGTAGAGTAGAGTAGGGTAGGGTAGGGTAGGGTAGGGTAGAGTAGAGTAGGGTAGGGTAGAGTAGAGTAGAGTAGGGTAGGGTAGGGTAGAGTAGAGTAGGGTAGGGTAGAGTAGGGTAGAGTAGGGTAGGGTAGAGTAGAGTAGGGTAGGGTAGGGTATAGGGTAGGGTAGGGTAGTGTAGAGTAGAGTAGGTTTCCCTGCAGCAGCTCAAAGGTGTCTGTCCTGTCTGAGTTTATCCTGGGTCTGGCCTCTCTGTGGTGATCCAGCTGACGGAGCAGTGGGGGCAGGTCCTGGCTCAAAAACAGACCCAAAGTCAAGAGGCAGTTTAGAGTTTTAATATCCAGGCAAAAACAGACTAGATTCACAAACACCAGGAAACACGGCAATCTGACAACTGAGGCAAAGACACAAACTATAAAACACCAGGACACAGGTACATCGGGGGGAGGCAGTAAGCAACAACAGAAAGTGAACACAGGGACAAGAACAAGAGAGAGGGATTTCAAAAAATGGGGCTCGTGCGGCTGACGCAGGCGAGACTACGTCGGTTAAAGGTATATAGGAGGATTTTCTACTTCCGGGTGGATCGTCAAGACTATTGGTCCTCCCAACTGTCAATCATTCTGCTGATACGGCGTCGTCCAATAAGACCAGAGAGTTTGGTTCAAAAAGTGGAGAAGGCGGTACTTTCCTAAAAATTGGGAAAATCCTCCTATATACCTTTAATATTTACAGTCTATGTGACGGACCCACCAGGACCCACCAGGACCCACCAGGACCCAGCAGGACCCACAAGGACCCAGCAGGACCCACAAGGACCCACCAGGACCCACCAGGACCCCCCAGGACCCACCAGGACCCAGCAAGACCCACCAGGACCCACCATGAGCCTGCAGCGATGGTCATAAAGCATAATTCCTGGAGGTCCTGGGGGTCCTGGAGGTCCTGGAGGTACTGGAGGTCCGGGTGCCGCCTCTCGCCGCAGGTTTGAGGTCATTATTATAATGATTTTTATTTTCCAAGGACAGAGGAGATAAACATGAGCCTGAAGGACCGAGGTCAGAAGGTTCTCATCAGACCCAGACCCAGACCCAGACCGAGGCCCAGACCAAGACCCAGACCGAGACCCATAGGAAAGAGGCCGCGGCATCACCGGGGTTTCATTATTAACACGAGCCACACTAACTACACACTAACTACACACTCCACACTATCTACACACTAATTACACACTAACTACACATAACACCGTTTACATTTGCACTGCACCGAGGCGTCAGTGATCATTTAATTTAATTTAAATTAGTAAAATAATAAAACTAAATTAAATGGACACAACAATACATGAACATTAAAATATCAGAAACTACAGTTTAATTTACCAAACAAGGTAAAACTACACACAGACACACACAGAGACACACTCACACACACACACACTCACACACACACACACACATGCACACACAGAAAAATGAAAAATAGCTGCTTGGCTAATTCTGGCATATTTACAGAAATGTTCATTAATATGCACTGTCCCAGTAATAAATAAATAAATAAACAGACACACACAGACACACTCAAACACACACACACACACGTATACACACACACACACTGACACACACACAGACACAAAGACACACACACACATACACACACACACACACACACACACACACACACACACAGACACAGACACACACACACACACAGACACAGACACACACACACACACACACACACACAGAGACACACACACAGACCCCAGCCTCTGGATACGTTGTGGGGCAGAGTTTTGCTGGAGGTGGCTTCGTTCTGTAGTGACCTTGGACGGGTCGCTCTTCCCAATGGGCAGAAAGAGAGAGAGAGAGGCAGAGAGAGAGAGACAGAGAGAGAGACAGAGAGAGAGAGAGAGAGAGACAGACAGAGAGAGAGAGAGAGAAACAGAGAAACAGGGAGAGAGAGAGAGACAGACAGAGAGAGACAGAGAGAGAGAGAGAGAGGAGAGAGAGAGAGAGAGAGAGAGAGAGAGAGGCAGAGAGAGAGAGACAGAGAGAGAGAGAGAGGCAGAGAGAGAGAGACAGAGAGAGAGAGAGACAGAGAGAGAGAGAGAGACAGACAGAGAGAGAGAGAGAGAAACAGAGAAACAGGGAGAGAGAGAGAGACACAGAGAGAGAGAGAGACAGACAGAGAGAGAGAGAGAGAAACAGAGAAACAGGGAGAGAGAGAGAGACACAGAGAGAGAGAGAGACAGACAGAGAGAGACAGAGAGAGAGAGAGAGACAGACAGAGAGAGAGAGACGTACAGACA